GAACAGCTTGGTCAGGTGATGGTGGGAACAGTTGCTAAGCTCAGGCTGCGCTCCACCATCAAACTCATCTCCAAAGGCAGCTGAAACCCCGGCAGTAAAGAAGAACGGTCACTCAGCTCAGCTCAGCAAGACCTGTGCCCTTTTCCTGGACCCTGCACCTGCCCAGCCCCTTTCTGGCATGCACAGTTTGTTACTTCAGGTACAAACAAAGGCTGGATGGTAAAGAGTTAAGGACACAGGGCTGGAGGGGAATGGAGGCTGCACAGCATGCAATAACAACTTAAATGAATGTGGCACCTCTCCTTTGAGTGTTGAATATTCTTTTTGATGTTGGTGATGGAACATAATTGAACTGGGTCAAATAGATATAATTAAGTTAGGTCAAAACATAATACAAAATTAGACACATCTGGCCTCAGGTTTCCCAGTCCAACAGGATTGAAATTCCTGTTGACCTTCATGGTGAGCTCTGCACTCCGTGCTTGTATTTCTCTGTAATCATTTAGCACCTTTTTCATTGTTTTTTTTTTTCATTGCTCTATTTCTTTCTTTTTTCTGTTGTCTCCTCTCTGTGTTTCCACTTCCTGTTTGAAGGCTAGGAGACAGGAGGAGAAAGAGATAGATGCAGTTGCTCTCATTTCAGACGTGGTGGGTGGAGGCACCATGTTTGGGAGCAAAGCCTTCACAGGTACCCTGCGTGAGCAGCAAGCCGCACACAGAAGTGTGACGTTGCATTTGTCATTGGAGGGATTCATCTCACACAGCTTCAGCCTTATTCAGGTGGTGATTTTTCTATGAAATTCTGCAGTGATCCCCACATTTTACATTTCTTTCTAATCTCATCTGGAATGAGGGATTCCCCTGCCTTTTATCCTCCTCCTCTTTTCCTCTTCAGCAGATTGTTTAAGTTAGCTTGTTTCTCTGACTCTCTTCAGGGTCCTACAGTGGCTGTTGGGAGAAGATGCATGTGTCTTTCCTGTCCAGCCCCTGACCGCCTCCCCAGAGGAGCCCTACTCAGCTTAGGCTGGCTGGGTTCACAGCAGTAGGTTTTTCAGAGGCCTTCTGGGCAAATGCAACCTACAGCCACCCTCCCTCCTTTGACAGAGTGAAGTGTACCACAGTCCTCTGTGGTGACTGCAAAAGTGTTGACGGCAAATCAAGCCAAAGGAGGGCCAACACTTCCACTGCAAACAGCATGAATACTGTTTATCTTAATTGATAAGAAAGTTATTTTTTCTAGTAAAAACACTGGGCACTTGGAATTTTGTGAAGTCTTGACTACACGTATATGCTTGCAGGTTCACAGTGTGCACCTGCACGTTCACACTTCTCACAACAGCAAGTCCCTACTCGGCCTTAAATCATTAGCCAGAGAGTGTCCAGGGCACATTTGTCCTGGAGCTCCTGGAGGTATTGGTTTCTGAAATTGCCTGTGTAAATCACAAGGATTTTAACAGCTCCATTGTGAGAGGGAAGAAACTGCAGCTGCACATGACCATTCTCCTCCATGCTAATGTAATAATTGGAAGCCATGAAAGGTGGGATGTGGTTCTTAGAGAAAATGCAGCCCAAGGCTCCACCAGCTGCTGCTGGAGCTGAGCACTTGTTTCTAGCATAAGAGTGGTGTCTGTTTGTGTGTGGCAGCACAGGTGGGACGCTTATGAGTACCTTTCTTTGATAGAAGGTTGATCTTGGTGTTGAAAATAGAGAAGCAAAGACCATAGTTCACTCAGCAGATGCTTTTAGGGCCTGCTGGTGGATTTGATTTAGTGAGTTTTTACTCCACTAACCCTCAGAGTCCTTCAGCCTGGCCACACTTGCCACTGGAAGCAGCACATGGTAGAAAGGTGCATCCAAGCATAGAGAACGGCAGGAGTATAGACTTTTGCAGAGATTTTCCAGCAGGCAGCACAGTAGTGGTTTCAGGGTTTGGAAATGAAAACAAGAGCAGTTTTTTTGTGACTGCTGAGTTGGGTTGGCCGCACAGAGGAGTCTGCAGCCCCAGAGGAGTGACACGCGAGTGTTACAGGAGTAACACAAATACTGACAGGAGAATAGCAGATTTGATCACAGTTAGCTTCTCAGACATCAGTGACAACTGTGCCAGCTGTGTCTCAAGAAAGTCTTCTGGAAGAGGAGAGTGGGGGGAGGATTGGCAGTGGTGGGGCCCTTATGTATCTCTGCTGCCAGAGCCCTTGCTCGAGTCACCTACCTGTCACCTGTCCCTCGGTGTCTTCAGCTAGTAGGCCATCACATAGGCCTGGGGACAGTGACCTTACAATTCAGAGACAAGCAGAGAAACAGCCTCAACACAATGTGCAAAGAAAAGTGGAGTCATTTGTTTAATTCTTTACTTAGAAAACAAATCAGGCTCCATTCCCTACTCTGGAGTCATGATGTGAAATGAAGCAGGGGCCAGCCAGATAGCTCAGTGGATTAAAGTGCAGGTGCCAGGGATTCCATCCCTCGACCTGCCATGCCAGCCCCAGGATGCACTGATGAGATGTCAATTGAGACTGGGTGTGGTCGTGCACACCTATAATCCCAGCTCTTGGAAGACTGCAAACAGGAGAATCACTATGAGTCCAATCTAGTAGTGAGACCCTGAACACACTGTAGACCCTTCCCTAAAATACAAATAAAAACGGGGGCTGGGGAGATGGCTCAGTAGAATAAGCGCTTGCCTGGTTTGGCAGAGAGAGAGAGAGAGAGAGAGAGAGAGAGAGAGAGAGAGAGAGAGAAACAGAGAGATGAAAGCGGGACGAACTGGGCCAAGAGAAGATGTCGCCAAGGACTGCACAATGCTGGTCCCAGTGGGACACAGAAACACCTAGAAAGCTGTCACCATGTGGGATTTGAGTCCCCTCAGGATTTTCTGCATTCTGGCTGTGCTGAGCTTAATAATAAGCTCTGAACCCTTATTACTGGCTTCAAGAGGGGGCAACTCAGTCCCACAGGAGGTGGAGCAGAAAATTGGGTGTCCATCAAGACTAAAACATGAGAGGGCATGGCTGCGAGCGAATAGGAAAAGGGTGATGGGGCTCCTCCCACCTCAGCCCTACTGCCTCACTAGGCCACACAGGGCCATTTCCAGGGTACCGGGCACAGGCCAGAAAGAGGTCCATCCCACATCTGCCCCACCAGCTCGGCCATCCCATCAGAAATGCCCCTTCAGTCTGCATCAGAAAATGCCACTCCCTGCACTGGCACAGGAGTTATCTGCTATACAGAAACATTTCTTTGTTTTTGTTTTTCCAGCAATGGGGATTAAAACCAGGGCCTTCACAGAGCTGCATATTTTATTGAGACAGGGTCTCACTATGCTGCTAAATTGTCCAGCCTAAGTTTGAACTTAGGGTCCTGCAGCCTCAGCCTACACCAGTAAAGAGATTACAAACTTACACCACCTCCTCTGACTTGAAACTTCTATTCTTAAAGCACCTAAGGAAGTTTTCTATTGGGAAAAATTGCTGTGAAACATTTGCCTTTGGGATGTGTTGGGGTTCTTTCCCAACTCCTCTTCTAGCCCACTTAGCTTTAGCTGTGTTCTTCTAAAACCTCTGGTGGGAAGCGGGGGCCTCAATGCCCTCACATTTGCTGTGCACAGGGCGCTGCCCAGCCTGGGGGCAAGTCAGTGTCTCGTCGGGAGTCACAGAGAGAGGGTCACAGAGCTCAGCGCGCGGCTCCACGCCCAGTGTCCAATCCTGACCCAGACGCCATTACACCCATGCCTGGGCAGGACAGGGTGGAGGGATGTGTGGGCCAAACCTGTCCCACCACCCCTGTTCACTGCTCTTCTGGGGTACAAGAGGCTGTTCTCACGGAGTAGGCCAAGTTCCGTTGCCAGAGTCCCCCTGGAAGTAGAAGCGGCCCTGCTGCTGCGCTGTGTCCAGGAAGTTTGTCAGCTGGAACGCCCGCCCCATCCCATCAATGTTCAGGGGAGATGCTGAAGAACCATTTTTAATTTTTTTATTAGTGCGTGTCTCCATGCTTGTGTGGAGCTGAAGTGTGATCACAACACATCACCACTCCTTTTTCCACCCTACCCCTTCCCATCCCTATTCCTTTCCCTCCCACCCTCTCGTGGCTCCCCCTTCTCCTTTGAGAAAGATCTATCTGCCTACATCCTATTATTTATCTTGTATTTTCCTCTTTAATTTATTTATACTTTGTGTTTTCACATAAGAGAAACCACATGATATTTAAACTTTCACCTCTGACTTATTTTGTCTAACATGATCTGAGGTACATGCATTTGCCTACAGATGATTCAAGTTAATCCTTCTTTATGGTATAGTAGTATTCCACTGTATGTAAAATCCACATTTGCTTTCCCCATTCATCTACTGATGGGCATATAAGCCACTTCCAAGATGTAGCTCTTGTGAGCTGAGCCTCTGTAAACAGGTGAGTATGGATCACTGTCATGTGATATCTTAACTTTTGGGACCAAATCCTGAAGGGTAACAGCTGAGTCAAATGGAATTTCTAGTTTCAATTTTTTGAGGTGTCTGTGAGTTGATTTCCACAGTGGTTGCACTAGTTACATTTCCCGCCAACATTGTAAGGGGCTCCTTTCCTCCAAGACGCAGTACTTAAGTAGGGTTAGAATGATGCATTTTAAGTTACATATGTTTTACCACAGTTAAAAACAGACTTTGAATTTAAAAACTAATAGACAAGAAGGAAAAGTTGACCCCAAAGAGCATTTATTCGTTTAGTCACCTGGTGTGCAGAACAGGCATGTGAAAAATATTTTTTACATCAATTAACACAGGAGCACAGTGGTCTCATTGTGCCAGGTTCAGGCATGTGGCGAGGTCGTGGGGTGTTCTCGGTCAGGCCGAGGTCTGCTTACTTTTACCTTCCCAGCAGCTTGTTAGGGAAAGAGCTGCCGCCCAGCCTGCAGCACAGCTGGAGGCTGGGCAGGCGGGCCCGGTTGCCAGCATCCTCCATGGTTTCTGACCCCTGCCCCTGTGTGTTTGGTTCCTTCCGCTCAGATGCCCAGCCCACAGAAGGGGAGAGGGAGATCTGGAACCAGATCAGCGCCGTGCTGCAGGACTCCGAGAGCATCCTCACTGACCTGCAGGCCTACAAGGGTGCCGGGCCTGAGATACGAGACGTACGAGACAGCCTGGTGCTCCAGGCTTGGAGTGGGGAAGAGAGGCACATGCGCACACAGATGTGGGCAGACCACACACAGAGCCCCGGGGACCAACTCCTTGGGGGCAGCCTCCCACTGCCCCATGGGGAAGGTTGGATGAGAGGTTGTTTTAGGGATGACTGGAAGGGGCTCATATTCTATATCCCGCATGCTCAGTTCCCAGCAGTATTCAAGCTTCCTGCGCATCTGTGGCCCAAAGCTGATGGAGGGGAAGCTTGTTATAAGTCTAAGGAAATAAAATTTGTAGACTCTTTAGATACAAGCTAGGGGAGAGGGAGGTTGTCATAAGAATTGTGGCAGGGTTAACACGCAGTTCTACTGTATTCTTGCAGGCAATTCAAAACCCCAATGATATCCAGCTTCAAGAAAAGGCCTGGAACGCAGTGTGTCCCCTGGTGGTGAGGCTGAAGCGCTTCTACGAGTTCTCCATCCGGCTTGGTGGGTCTCCTTCCATCTCCCCATCTCGCACACAGGAAGGAGGCTTGCTTTGTCATTTGAGAAGGCACCCGGAGCAGCTGAGCATGTAGAAAAAGGCCCAGTGCCCTCCTCGGAGGCCGGCCATAAGCATTTCTTTCCCATTCCCCTTTCCTTGGGTCGCCCACTTTTCCACTCTGTATGCCCTGGCGTACTATGAGCCTTTCTGCTGGCATACTGTTTCTGTGGGCACAGTGCAAATGGGTGTCCAGTGTCGAAGTCCTCATATCCCATTTCCCCCAAAATAAACCCTGGCCAAAAAAGAAAAAAAAAAGCCCTACCATGATTAGGATGAGCCCTACCTCCAAAGTAAGCCCTGGTTGTGATCGGCAGGCAGGGGTATTATGATGGCAGGTTTGGAGGAAAGCATTCTTGGGATTAAGTCAGAATATAAAGGAGGAAAAAGACTGGAAAGGGATCAGAGCTCACTTTGTGGAGCCAGTGGTCTAAGCCATGTGTTCACAGCTGGCCATCTATAGGGCGGGGGAGATAGCTCAGTAGCACAGTGCCTGCCTGGTTGTGAGTTCAATTCCTGGTACCAAAAACAAAGCTGAGCCTCTTTCTGCTCATGAGCCACACTCATGGTTCTCTCTGGAACCAGGAATTGGGGCTGGCAGACCTGCGGGCTGAGCACAGAGGGCATTGACCACACACAATGATCGGCCACAGGCTCAGGAAAGCCCATGTCCACTCCTGTGGACCAGGGGCCCTGCAGCAGCTTCTGAGATGGCCAGTGGGGCTCAGGACAGTATTTACCCTTGGCTTCCAGAGACAGCCCTGCAGAGCCTGCTGGAGTCCCTGACGTGCCCTCCCTACACACCAACCCAGCACCTGGAGCGCGAGCAGGCCCTGGCCAAGGAGTTCGCGGAAATCTTGCACTTTACACTTCGATTTGATGAGCTGAAGGTCAGAGCCAGCATGCTTCAGAGGTGTCCTGCACTGTCCCGAGCCTTCTGCTGTGGCAGGGGTGGGGACAGCTCTTTCAGTGGACACAGTCGGGGCGAGAGATTCGCATTTCGGGTGATTAGAGTACTATCTTAGCTACTTTCCTCTTATTGCTGGGACAAAATACCCAACACCCCAAATTAAGGAAGAAAGGGTTTATTTAGCTCACAGTCTATGGAGATTTCAGTCCCTGATCAGCTGCCTCTGATGCGGGGTGGCGCAGCACCAGGAAACAGTTCCAGATGTAAGATAGCAAGTAACAAGAACAAAAGGGGGGAGAGCAAGCCTCTCTTCCTCCCTTATATTGTATGCCAGCTGCCACCCCCCACCCCCAGCTACCCACCTGGAGTGGGGGCAGCGTAGCTGTCCTGCCGTCTCCCTGCCCTCCTCGCACAGGCTCGGGATGTCCACAAAATAAGGACCCTGTTCCTCACTAGGAGTACACAGACTTTCCCTGAATCTAGCGCACAGCAAACACAGGACTTGATGTAGAATGATGACCTTATAGGTCTTCCCTTTTAACTAGAAGTTGCTTTGATTCTTGTATAACAAAGACTATATTCTCCAGAAAATAAGACCTACTTGGAAAATAAACTTCAGCTGAGATTAACAGCTGGTTGCTGACATGCTGATGGCCAGTGTGGCTTGGAAGATTCTATCTCACTATTCTATTGGTCAGTGGCTACTCGAATAATGGTACGCTGACTGGAGTGGGCACTCTGGATCTCTAGTTAGGTCGTATTTGGGGGGAAACACAAGAGAAGTCCTGGCATTTTTACAAAATCGGTACTTGGCCTCCAATGCACATTCCCCCCACCTGCTGCCAAAGGATGACCTTCCCTCTCCTGTCTTCTCCCTTCAGATGAGGAATCCGGCCATTCAGAATGACTTCAGCTACTACCGAAGAACAATAAGTCGTAATCGTATCAACAACATGCATGTGAGTCTCGGAGGCCTTGTCTCCTGCAGGTTCTTTGCTTCCTGGATCAAATGGGGCATGGAGAGAAGACAGCCCTGTGTGTTTCTAATTGCATCTCCTCTTCGCTCTCCTCAGCTAGACATTGAGAATGAAGTTAATAATGAGATGGCCAACCGAATGTCCCTCTTCTACGCAGAAGCCACGCCCATGCTGAAAACCCTGAGCAATGCTACCATGCACTTTGTCTCTGAGGTAAGCAGAGTTGAGCAGCAAGCTGCTTTTTTTCTTAGTTGTGCATAAAAGCTGTTTGTCAGACTGAATGCATTTGTATCTCCAATGTAGAACAAAACCCTGCCAATAGAAAACACCACGGACTGCCTCAGCACGATGACAAGTGTCTGCAAAGTCATGCTGGAAACTCCGTAAGTGAACCTGAGGTGCCTTCACAGTGGGCGGCTCACCCGGCGGGGGCCTGTTAGGAGGAGTCGTGTCTCTGTGGGTCTGTGCAGGAAGTTTCCGTTATGTTCTCTGCTTCAAGGTCAGAAGGAACTCTTGGCAGCAGATGTGTTTCTCTTTCTTTCTGCAGTCCAAGAAGCTGAGACTCAAATGGCTGACAGGGTTCCCAAAGTTTGCATAGATCATTTCAGCAGAACCAGTGGGCAAAGGTGCTACCAGAGAACACATAAGGGCCACCGCTGGACATGGCACATGCCCACAGTCTGCGCTCCAGGGTGCGAGGCAGGAGAATCTCAAGCTCGAGCAGCCTAATGAGATCTTGTCTCAAAAACAAACAAAAAAGACAGCAAATGTACCTCAGTACAAAGGCCCTTGGTTCAATCCCAGGCCTGTAAGGGCATGCGCATGCACACGCACGCCTGCACAGACACATGCTCACCCGCACATGCACACCCGAAGGTAGGTGAAGACTAACTGGAGAGCAAGGTTAGATGGCTGTTATACTAGGCACATTATAGAGAAGACCTAAGAGATTTAGAATCAGAATAAGAGAATAGAAGTAGTACGACTTACAACTGTTGCAGAATAATGGCTCGCTCTAGCTCTTGCTCTCTCCCTCTCTCTCTCTCCCCCCCCTCTCTCTTTCTCCTTCCCTCTCTCTCTCCCTCTCTCTCTCCCTCTCTCTGCTTGCCTCTTTCTTCCCCACTCTGTTCCTCTCTCCCTCTCTAACTCTCTCTCTCCCTCTCCCTGTCCCTCTTTCCCTCTCCCTTCCTCCCCTCTCTCTCCCTCTCAGTCTCCCTCTCTCCCTCTCCCTATCCCTCTCCTTCTCTCTCCCCCTCTTCTCTCTGTCTCTCTTGTTTCTTTGTACCTAAGCTAGTTACCAGTTATTAGGGTTACAAATCAGTTGAGTTACTGACGATGAAGTAGCATACTTGTGGGAAAGTGTCCTGTCAAAATCAGGGGTCTGCAGACACTTGTACCCTCTCCTGTTCCAGTGAATAGATGTCTTGACCTCTCTGGTCCTTCCTTGATTTCCTTGTCTAATAAAGTTTTCCAAACATCTTCTATTTTTCAGGATGTTTGGGAAAGCCACAACACCTTATAAAATATGTTCTGTTTATACATGAGAACATTAATTTCAAATATTTCACCTGTACCAAAGTTAAGATCTATTCTGTCAGAAATATCACTTACCTTCATTATGGGGCCAATTTATCCTGAAATAGATGCTAAGGAAATCTCTAGAATTGGGTGAAATTATCTAAATCATCAGGGAGACCATCAATGTAAGTGAACAAAATGCAAGCTCCCAGGTGCTCTGCACTCCGTGGATGCTGTGTCGTTGCTTCACCAGTACAGTGAAGGCTGGACTCCAGGTCTTAACAAAGGAAGTCACTCTGACTGCAGCCCTGATAACAGCTATGTAGAAAAGAGCCTGATGCTTTGTCTCTGTAATGGAGCCATTATTCTCTATAATTTTGGACAGCCAGAAGGATCTGCTATAAAATATTCAAGATTGATGGGCAGGGGTGGTGTGCGCGATGAGCCGGCCTCCGAAGGGCAGAAGCCAGGATTTACTGCCCTCTTATTTCCCTTGTTTTCGTGCTGAATTGCTGGTTGGATAGATTCAAGGAGAATTTCTGTCATGGCTTCTTCAGGAGCTCATTAAGAGCCTGCAGCAGCCCAGGGTTGCTCTCCAGAGAGGAGGCAAGAGCACCCCGTCTGGTGCCCTGCTGGCAAGGTGCCACAGCCACTGTCTTCTCTCTTGCAGGGAGTACAGGAGCAGGTTCACGAGTGAAGAGACGCTCATGTTCTGCATGCGGGTGATGGTGGGGGTTATCATCCTCTATGACCATGTGCACCCTGTGGGAGCCTTCTGCAAGACGTCCAAGATCGACGTAAGCACAGCTGTGCAGCCTTGTCCTCTCCCTCTCCATACCCCACTGACAGTAGCCTCTCCAAGGTGCACCACTCTTTGTCCTGTGCTCAGGACAGGTGCAGCCTCAGACACACAGCACACAGGGCATAGCTGGATGTACAGCCCTCAACCCACTGTAGTCTAGTAGATCACTACATTATCACAGCTCTCTGTCCTGCCACTGACTCAGGGTCCCCTCCTGATTATAAACACCATGCTCTTTCAGTTTCCTCTTCTGTTAACTCCATACCTTTGCCACATACCTTATATTTAAATAAGTGTGACCCTTTCCCCCTGCTCAAAGGGCCCTTTCTCCTCCTGTCTGTTGGATTGGTTTCTTTCAACCACTTTGTAAATGTTATCTCATTCAAGAATACATTTCTTATGCTCTGCATGGATGCGGACTTCTTTATCCTCTGGTCCTCAAGGCACTCACAAGTTCATATTTTCTGACCTTCCTACAAGGTCAAACTTTTTAGACAGAGACAAGGACATGGTCTATATACCTGCTGTCTCCTCCACTGTCTAGCACCACATCTGACAATTAGTGCCTTACTCTCAATAGTTGTTTTATGGGATTTTATTGGATGGATGCATGGATGGATGCCTGGATGGAAGCATGGATGGATGGATGGACAGATTAATGGCAAAATGGATGCATGAAAAACCATTGGCAAATCCATGATTTGGGTGCAGGTGCTAACCTGCTGATCTATGGGATAAACCACATCTACTAACCCAGCATTTGCCTGCAGCACCAACTTCATAGTGTATAGCATGCATTAATTCAAAGCCACACAATAGCAGAATAAAACCTCTGGATCTTAACTTACTTTGATGTGGCTAAGCCTGAGCAGGACACTCTTACACTGGAACCGTCAGGAGCAAGCCTGTATGCCCAGAGAAGCCAGCAGGCTGAATGGGTACGAGGAAATTCATCAGTGAAAAATGTAACTTGGATCACATGCTTTGAGGTTCTAGATTTTTAGCATAAAATGCTAGAAAAATGCTAGGCTTGGCCTAATTCTTCATAAATCATTGTGATTTTTATTTTAATTGCATCCATTTCTCATAAAAGTGAATATTCAGTGATAAATTTTTGAAATATAGAAAATCAAATTGCAGAACATTAAATATATCTTTAGCAATCTTACCTGACAGGTGACCAGTATTCACATGAGCTACCCACCCATCTCTCTGTACACATATGAATGCATGTGTTTCATAGATTAGGCCCCTGCTCTACATGCGCCTAGAAAGCATTTCATCTACACAACAGTATGTCATGGTATCTTTCACATGCTAAATCTATTGACTGTGATCTTTGTGAGACTTCAACTATTCATACTATAGTGGAATACAAATAGGTCAATACTTGAGGCAGCTTCATTCCCACTGTCATTTGTTACTTTGTCACACAGTCAACAATTACAAATTCACAGGGTGCAATTATGCCTCAAACCCTAACTTTTGAAAAGCTTGGCTTTGTGCCATTTGCACAGTTGAGGTGGTAAACCACGCACAGTGCTGATCATCTCAGGCGTCTCAGGCATCTGTTTGCTGGTGGAGGTGCATGGTAACGCCTGTCCTTGGAGCTTGCATGTGGCTCTAAGAATGGGTCAGTGTCCCTGCACAGGTCCTGCTTGAGACGCATCATTTTCTTTGATGTGCAGAGGCCCATCCTCCAGGTGTGATGTGCTTGTGAGCCGCAGTCACAGGCATGGGTCTGGAAGCAAATGTGTATTTCTGAGGCCCTGGGAGAGGTACCCTGATTTGCAGAATTGATGTGCAGTGAGCCCTGCACAGCCAGGGAGGGAGAGACAGGCTGCCAAGGGCAGAGACAGGGTGAAATTTGACAAAGCCCTTGAAGAAGGTGTAGGATTTTTCTAAATGGACAGAACCTGAAGGTGTAACCATCTCTGGTAGTACTGCCATAGAGGGAATCCCTACAGAGAAAAATCCACAGGGCTCAGCCACTGAGTAAGCAGATGCTCGCTTGGGTGCATGAAAAGTGGGGTAGTTTAGGTGAGGCGCTGTTTTCAAATGAGTTCCTTAGCATTGTATGAAATGAGCCCATGTAGAACCATTCCTTTTTTAAAATCTGTAGTTAGTTAGTTAGTTAGTTAGTTAGTTAGTTAGTTGGTACAGGGTCTCACAGTGCAGCTCGGACTCATATTGATGTTCTTGTCCCAGCCTCCTCAGTGCTGGGATTATAGGCATGTGCCACCATGCCTAGTTTCCGTGGCCAGCACGGCATGCCCAGGTTCCAGGGCCAGCATGGCATGTGGTACCAGGGTTCGAACCCAGGTCCTTGTGCTTGCCGGGCAGGCACTTAGACCACTGAGCTATCACCCCAGTCCTAGAACAATTCTTTATGTCCCAGCTAGAGCTTCACCCGTAATTCCAGATCTTACTTCCTGTGGACACCTGAAACTTGGCCAGCCCCAAACAAAATGTTTTTTCCTTCACCAGCAAACCTATTCCCCTTCCTGAGCTCCAGCCCACGTGTTTCCCTGTTCTCCCAGAGTCCATTTCAGAAGCCTAGAGCTCTCATCCTTGGGTCCTAGCTTAGGAGCTGTGTCCTCTCTATTCCACAGCCTACTGTAGTATCAGTCAGATGGGGCCTTATGTCATCCCCATCCCATAGGCTCCACACCCCGGCTGGCCTCACTGCTCCTCCTCCTCTGCTTCTTCCTGACCCTTTCCATATCAGCCTTATTTCTAGAATGTTTAACACCTATCAAGGGTGTCTTCTACAAGAAAAAAACCCTAATTTCCTAATGTGCTTATAAAGCCATGCTGGGCCTGGTTCCAAGTGTGTCTCTAACAGTGCTTTGTATTCATACTCTCAGCTTTAAGCACCCTGAAATAGAACTAGACATTCAGTCTTTTCCCACATTGATGCCTAGCATCCCTAGGGGATATGTTGCAGCTGCACCATGATAATGAGCTGTCTGTTTCTTTCCTCTCACTGGTCAGTAAGCTCTGATAGGAGGGGACCATGGTCCTGTCTCCCTGGTGTCATCCCAAGCCCAGCAGGGCACTTAGCGGCTTGCTTAGAGGTCCCCCTCCCCTGACCCCAGACCATGGCAGACAGTGCTGACTGACCTTGACATTCTTTCTTGATCAGTCTATAAGTGCCACCAAATGCCCTGACTGCCCCCACAATACATAGATGCTAGGTCTTTATGATCAAACTTTTGACATCCCCGAAATACAGATGTAGAAAAAGTTGACAAGCAATCAGTATAAAAGAGGCCTTAAGCCTAAGCAAATCCAATACGTACTGTACATGGACAACCGAGTTTAAAATGAGTGATTGTCTTCTTTAAAGAAAGATTCTGTTGAGTGCCTGCTTTGGCAAGTCCAGGGACCAGGGTTCAATCCCCAGTCCCTCATGCCACACTGGCCCTGCCCCTGAGGCATGGGGAGCAGGCAACCGAGTCCAAGTGTGGTGGTGCACACCTATAATCCCAGTGCTGGGTAGGCTCTAAACAGGAGGATCACTGAGTCCAAGCTGCATAGTGAAACCCTGTACCAGATACATAAAATGAAAAAAAAATTCTAAAAGATTCTTACTTTGCTGGAAAACACTACAGCATATACATAAGGTAATGTGATCTCTATGAATTTAATTGTCATGTACTGATCAAGTTATAAGTAACTTTATTCCAAGGGCACAGAAAGCTAAGGTACTTGGCTAAGTTCATATGGATACCAACCAAGCTAACAGATGAAATCCAGACGTTCAGGCTCAGTGAGGCTTAGTTCTTGGCAACTGCTCCTCCCCATTCTCATGGAAGGTGATGAAAGCATAGATCTGTGGCTTGAAGTAAGTGGCAAGGAAATCCAAGTTTCCAGCGTTTGGCCCCAGAATGAAAATGTACACTGGCAGTGTGGTGCAGAGGCCAGTAGTACTCATGTCACACGGCCCAGAGCAGCAGCTGCTTGGCCTGGCAGGGAGGCGAACCTGATGCATCTCTGTGGACAGAAATACTGTGCTACTGTGGATGATGAGAGGAGTAGGATGGAGAGACCGTGACAGGGACAGAGCTACTACCCCAGTGTTTAGACTGTGCTTTCTCCTCCAGATGAAGGGCTGCATAAAGGTTCTGAAGGAACAGGCTCCAGACAGTGTGGAGGGATTGCTGAACGCCCTCAGGTGAGGCCCCTTTCAAATCTGTTGCAAATGTCCATGGAGGTGGAGGTGGGGGGCAGATCACCAAGGTTGACCCCTTGTACATTAGAATGCACCTGTGGATTTCCCAGTGACCTCCTGAGGCTGGCACTACTTTTATCATTTCCTGTTTACAGATGGGAGAAATTGAGGTTGAAAGAAGTCAAATAATTTGATAAACATTGCAGAGGACATGGCCAAGCTAGCACATGCACGGGGCCTGACCCTCAGCCATGTGGCCTGGGGTGTTTCTCTTCCACTCTTCCTGAGTGGTCCCCAAACCCAGCTGCACACACAAAGGGTGTGGACAGTTTCAGGAGGCACTGGAGCTCACCTCTGGCCCCAACCACATGCGTCAAGTCTGTGGCCAAGGGCTCGGGCATCTGGTTTGTGTTTGTTGGTGTGTGGCTTGTGTTTGTTTGTGGGCCTGACCGCCAGGTCCCTGGAAGTTATCTTGTGCAGCTGTTAGGATGCAGAAGCCTGCTGGACCACTGGCCACATAGTACTTGGCTGGCTGTGGCTTCCTCCAGCCCCTCACTGCTAATAACCCTCTTTCCCTGAGAACAAGACCCAGCCAGAAACAAGCAGCCTGGCAAATCAAAACTAAACACACCAGCCTTGTCAGCCTGCCCCACCTCCCCAGCCTCACAGAGCAGCACTGAGTCAGGGAGTAGAGGTGGCAGGTGAGCCGAGCGTGGGCTTGCACCGCAGCGGTACCCTGTGCCTGCTCTCCTGCATAGAGACTCGTGCTCCACCCACTTTGAGCAGAGGCCTCTTGGTTTTCAGCTGTAACACATGTCCAGGAATTTGTTGACTCATGCTCCTGGGTAAATCACCCCAGTGCTGGGTGGCCTTCTGGATGGGCTCGGCCCCAGCTGTCTTACTCCATAATTTCCCTCCACCTCGCTCACTGCCATACCTGCAGCAAGCATGCAGTGAGTCCACCCAGAAGGTAAAAAGGCGCTGCCTCATTCAGTGATGGCTGCGTGTTTCTGCCCCCTGCCTAGCAGATTAAGAGACGTAACCCCTGGACACTACAGACATCATCGGGGGGCTGGAGTGCCAAGCATTCATCCTGCAGAATGTAATACCATGAGAGTACCACTGTTTAAGCCTGAGCCTTTGCAGTCAGCTGCATCCCCGGTCCTTTTCATTTCTTTAAATTTTGAGACAAGGCCATGCTAATGTCACTGAGATTCCCAGGCTGGGCTTCATGTTGGCACTTTCCTGCCTCAGCCTCCCAGAGTGCTGGGATTGCAGAGTGTGCTGCTATACCTAGCTGAGAGCAGCCCAAATTCTATGAGTTATCCAAGGTCTTTCCCCTTTCATATTAGGCTAGATATCCACACTCAGTAAGAAGACTTTGACTTCTGAATTTCCCAAACTATCAGAGCTTGCTTGAGGGTCGGGTGCTGTGTTAGGCATACAGTGAAAGGAAAGACTTCCCAGGTAGTTGACCTAGGCTCAAGTCAAAAGTCACACTTTGTTCCTGAGTCAATCAGCTCTGGGATCTGGAATGGTCATGTGGCCTCTCTGAATCTTTCAGTTTCTGCACCTGCCCAGTCATCATGATTCAGATAGAACCTTCCAGGGGGCACCTAGGCATGGCTGTGGGCTTCTTACATCTTTACTCCCTTTGCACAAAGACTTGTTTTATTTATGAGTGTGTGTTTGCAATATGTAATGAGTATGTCCATGGGGGGAATTGGTGCACATCTGTATCACATCTTGATCTTTTCACCTTCCATTTCCTGACCCCTCCAGCCATCTCCCCAATTCTCGGAAGTGGAGGGGATCACGATTTCTACATCGGGTTAATGCGAGACCACTGATCACATCGTTGGGTTTTGGTTTGTTCACCTGCATTTGTGCCCTTGTGATAGCCACAAGGATAAGCACTGCCACACAAGCAGAGAACCATAAAACCTCTGAGTTTTGGGAAATCTCTTTATTGAAATTTGTGACTCAGCAGGGCTTGCCTTTATGGTAAGAGTGTCACTCACACTGGGTGTGCTGTGAGTCCAGCACTGGGGAAGTTTGAGCCAGGGGGATTGCAAATTTGAGCCCAATCTGGTCAATTTAGTGTCTTAATGAGAACTTATCTCAAAATTAAGAAAGAAGAAGAAAGAAAGAAGAAAGAGAAAGAAAGAAAAAGAAAGAAAGAAAGAAAGAAAGAAAGAAAGAAAGAAAGAAAGAAAGAAAGAAAGAGTGAGCTGGAGACATACATAATTCAGTGTAAAGGACCTGGGTTCAGTCCCTAGTACTGACTATATCTCTGTCCACAGCAAGCCACATGTTTGGTTTGTAGGCTGGTTTTGCAGATGGATAGCAGCCACTTGGGATGCTTTTGCACAGTGCTGCTGGGCCACTGACCTCTCTCCCTTTCTCCCTCCCTCTTTCCCCCCTCAGGTTCACTACAAAGCACTTGAATGATGAGTCAACTTCCAAACAGATCCGAGCAATGCTGCAGTAGGAGTCCTGCGAGAAGAGGATCCGTGCTGACCTCAGAAGATGTATATGTTTACATAATTTAATACAAATTGATGTTAATACTTGTGTATTTACACAACCATTTCCTTTGTGTCCCTGAAATATATGGACCTTAATTTGTACCCTGACTGACTCAGCCCAGCAGAGTATAAATCAACTTGAGAGCCTTACCTTTGACATCTGAAACAAAACCCTTTCTCCCAAGGCTAGACATGGAGAATTTGATCTCATCCTGGAGCCCTTCAATGATATTCTTAACAATCACAAATTCCTAATAGTTTGTGGTAGTTTTAATTCTGGATGTATGTATTAGCTCTCTGGGAACATAGTTCATAGAAACACAAAGTGTCTCTGATTTCCTGCGTCAGCTCAGCTACAAAAGGCACAACTGTTACCCTGACAGGAATAGAAGGCCAGAAACAGAAAATGCATGTGGACGATGGCAGTGTCCTGAGTTCTGCACACCCCTCTGCCCTCGGCCTGAAGCCCACATGCATAGGCTTTCCATTTGTGCATGTTGTACAAATCAGTATCTTCCCTCTGGCAGGGTCTCTTCCGTCCCTCCCAGGCTCCCTTTACTTTTGCAAGAGGAAAAAAGCCTGTGTTTTAGTCAGCTAGTGAAAGAGCAGCAGGGATAGGTGGATGGGTTCTTGTGGCTGGTCTGACTGAGGACAGTAATTGTTTCAAAAGCATTTGAGGCAGGGATGTCAGTGCAGTCATCCACCAGTGTCACCCACTGCCTGCAGAGGCAAGGAAATGGAGCTTGGCTTTGAGACCTGGCCTCCAGCCAGCTAGCTATAAGCTCAGGACAGCTGGCCCCTTCTGTTGATGAGTTACCAGAAAAGTGGGTTTAAAGGAACAACATTCACATTTGCTAGTTCCCTGTTGTGCAGAAGCAACTTTACCCTGCTCCGACCTGGCTGTTGGTGGCCATGGTATGAAAGCAGGGATATGAGCATTAACCAAGCCCTACTAATGATTCACAGAATGATCATGAGAAATCCCCTTGGCTCTCCACATTGCACCTTCTCCATCTATAAAATGGGCCATTTAAACAGACAATCTCTAAAAGCCTATGAGGCTGGAAGCCAGTAAAGTAGCTGACTACCTATCTGCCTTTGTGAGGAGATTCCAGGAAGCATTGCCCACCCACTGAAATGATGGCCACTCATGCAGGGCCTGCAGCCATTTCTGTGTGGAGGCAGAGTTCAACTAGAATGTGGCCTTGGAAACTGTCCCACAAGGGAGGAGGAGGCCCCAGGATATGGTCACGTGGGATGGCTACAAGGTGGGTTTCTGACCCAAGATGCTTCCCTCCTCAATCCACGTGCTTCCTTCTTCACCATGTGCCCTGGGAGTACTGCTACAGGATGTGACTGGACCCTTGCAGGGAGATCCTAAGGCTGGCCTGATAACTGCTTGCTAATTTCTGCCCAAAAGAAAGAGTTACCTGGTTGTGATGAGAGTTCTGGAGGTTGGGTCTGGCCATGTTTGTCACATTCCAAGGAGTGAGTGGGAAGGTTGGCAGCCATCATTCCCTGAAGTCCTTCAGGAAAAGGACTTGTTTGCTTTTGTTTTAGCTAAGAAATTCAGTGAAGTGATGGGACGAAAGAGTCCCTGGTCTACATGCAAATTATCAGCCAACAGGGAAAGGAAAGGGCTTTTTCTTGGAGGTTGAAAGTTCAATGAGTACAGCTGCTTACATGAGGATTCACTCATCAGAACAAAAAAGTGTTAGACAACTGCCAGGACCGTTTCCACCCTGGGAATTCTGAAACCCTGAAGGAATCCAGAACATGTGGCAATGCAATGTGAGCAGATTCATCAATACTGAACTTAAGAGTTGTTCTGCTTGGCAGCCACTTGCTGAGCTTGGCCAACAACTGCCAAGCCCAGGAGAATGGAGAACGTGATGCTTACTACCTTCTAGTCCATTTTCTCCTCTCTTGGAAGAGGAGATGGAGGTGTAAAGAGAAGAAAGGACTTGCCAGCCACATTGGGCTCTTGAACACAGCCCAAGGGACTTTAACACAAGCCATGTGTTTATATCACAGCTGCCTCTCAGCTGTTTCAGTGAGAAAGTGTTAGGGATTATCTGTCACATGATATACATATATATATATATAAATGTATAAATAGTTGAGCACATTTATAATTTTTAATTAGACTTTCTATCAAATGGGACCAAACAGTATGAGGTTGTTGGTCTGCTTCTATTTAGCCAGCTACCTTGTTCCCAAGCCAGGACTCAGCCAGACGCACGTTCTGCTGAGCCCAGGGTCCCTGCTGCTGCTTGTGAGTCCTGGAAGGGCAGGTCGGGTGTCTGTGATCACTGGCAGGGAACAGGCGGGCGTCTGCTCCCATCAGTGGGAGACACTGTCTGTTAAGACTGTCCTCCTGGCATCTAGGATCCTTGGACAATCTGCTTTCAGTGCTGCCTGCACGTGGATCCAAGAGTCTTGGGTGGTTTAAGGGGACATGCTCTCCACAATGTCAGTGTCAATGTTAACTGTTTCATATTTGATGTCTCACTGTTTTCAAATAAATAGTGTTTTCCATGACTCAGATGTTTATTTTTGGGGCAAGCTGCAAGGTGAAAATTATGTTGCTCAGATACATAACTACTTCAGTATTCTAACTCTTCTCAGAAGACTTGCAGTGCCACTCGGAGTTAAGAGTAAAAATTCAGGTGGAAATGGGTGTTCTGAATTGTGCTGATCCACTAGGGCTGGAATATTAACTAAGAACGAGAAAGATCTTGAATATTATCTAGTTGTTGGTTAATACCATGCTTCACTGACATTTGCTCTTAGTACTAGAGGTTATGTCAGGACAGTGGTAAACATAGGTGTTTGAGAAATTGTCCCAGGTGAGTAAAAATAATTTCATGCTTCCTCAAATGCAACATGACGCCCAGTCAGTCTTGGGCACCAGCTGCACAGTAGGGTTCAGGGACTTCTCATTCAATCTCTCATTTTACACAGCTACACATTTTTTTAGATGTTAATAATTAACATTAGAGCTTTATCTCCAAGAGCCTGAAACTTTAGAACACAATCTCCTACATAGTTAAAGTTT